CTAATCCATAAAAAAAAAATTAAGCAACAAAGTTTAAAATTTTCTAGGTTTAATATGTTGGTTTCTGAGCTATATAATACTTACCTCCTCTCACACTATAGCTTTATTCCGATGAAAGTTTCTCTTCTCTGCCCATCTAAGCATTGGCATGAACCTTACCTCACTTGCTTCAGCCTTTATTCCCCACTATATTGCCCAAAGCAAGTTAAATCTTGTGATTCTCTCCATCTACATCAATGAGCCATCTATCCCAGTTCTGTATATAAGCTCCCTATTATTACTTTCTATTTAGTTTTCAAGACAGTCCAATTAGCAAACTTGAGACCAGCCATTTCGCGGGAAGAAAGAGCGGGAGAATGTGAGACGAGGAAATTGTTATTGGAAATACATTTTCGGTATAGGAAAATGTTAACTTCCAAAACACACTTAGCTCCTCTCACACTATAGCTAGAATCCCACATTGACAAGGTGGAGGAGCCAGTGAGTGCAAGATCCACACAGAAAGCATCTGCATAGAAAAGAGGTGTGCAAAAACAAGATGTAGTAATAGCACACAAGTGGGGTTTGCACTACTTCTGAAAACGGTATGTTCTTCGCCCAGACAATGTAAAATCTAATCCCTGAGCAATAAAAGCCTACCGGCCACAGAAGCAAACTCCTAGTATCATTAGAAGAACACGTATTCAACCAGGACCCAAATAAGTAGACGAGGTCCCACGTCTTGTCATTGGAATTATAGGGCTGTGGAACCAAATCTAGATCTAAAGCATAGTGGCTAGGGCATGAGGACTGCTGTTGATTTAGTTTTGTTTAGTAATGTGGTATTACTGGAACCCAACCTGAAAGTTACAGAATGTTACATATCGATCCACCAGAATTACAAAGAGAAGGCAAGCAATACAAAAGTGAACAAACCCTTGCCCCAACCTGAAGAAGCACAAAATGAAACAACCAAACTCAGAATTATGGGACCTTTCACGCCTCATTCAACCTGAAGAAACAGAGATTACCTGGCCTGGGGTTATGAAGTGAAATCCTAACACCCCAACCTAAGAGGCAAGGCAATACTTTCTGCCCCAAAATTACAAGAAGGATGTGGAACAAACTAAGTCCAACCCATGGCACTCAGCATGCTAAATTGAGGAGTTGAGGGCCCTCTTCCCTGATCATCAAAATTGAGAGAATGACTAAAAATAAGGGCCATGCTCAACTCAAATGGATAGCAAAGAGTCATCTCTGAAACAATATTACGAGGAAGCTCCCGTGTAAGCTGGTCTTGCTCCCACTGTACATCTAGGAAAACCATCCAGGGTTATTGGTAAAAGGGTACCCAGCTTTGCTTTCTTCTCCTTGAGTGAAATAATGAGTTCAAGCACCACTCAGGAGAAATAGACCTTTGTCCACCACTCCAGTGACTGGAAACTGGGAGTGGTAAAGACTTCCACAATCGACTAGGAGAAATGGGGTGGGGGGGATACTCGCACTGGGGAGTCTCAAGGAATGATGCTTCGGTGACAGCGCAATAGGTGAACCACATTCCCTATTTTGAAAAGTGAACCAACCCAGATTTATTCAATCTAGGGGTCAGCAGGGATGAGCAAAACCACCTTAAGCTTTACTCATGATAATCCACGAGTGGTGGTCCAGTAGTGTATTTGTTTTGTGTTTATAATTGTTTACCACTTGGAAAGCACGCAAGGTGATCTTATGGAACACCCCATCCAAACAGAGCTCGTTGCTACCAGGAAATTTTTAGCAGTCGACTGGTAGCTAATGCAGATTTGGAAGAAAGCATACATGACCAGGCAACATCTGCCAATGAGGGTGATCCAAATGAAAATGACAAAAGTCTCTAGAAAAAAAAAAGAAATAAAGACAAAATATTACTGAAATCACTTCGAAATTTCATTTTTGATATTTTGTAAAATGAAGAAAATAGACAAACTCCAGTCTAAACAAAAATTATCTAAAGTATAGGTACAACTAAAGCCATTCAACATATATGGATCTGGGATAGGGGA